AGAGATCCACCTGCCTCTGCCTCCCAAGTGCTGGGGTTAAAGGCATGCGCCACCACCGCCCAGCCATAATCTCTCTCTTAAACCTAAAAAGCCTTTCAGAACTTTCTTTCTCAGTTTCTCTTTCTGTAAGAACAACATTAGATTCACCTGTTAATGATATATATAGATAAATCACCTGTGGTTCACTCTAAGATAAAACTAAAAGACTACTTGGAGCTAGACAAATTCTCTCTGCTAGCACTATCTCTTTCAAGCCTATATTAGAAAAACCACATCCAGAATGCCTTCTGAAGGTAGATCTTAGCCATACACATGGGAAAGTGCAGGAGGAGGAAGCAATAAAGCCGAGCTGATTCTGCACCTACGCTGCCACACAAGAGACTCTGTCTAGGGCAGGATCTGAGCCAGGACAGGATGAGGAAGGGACAGATTCCTCCCCAAAACATGCTGGACCTAAGGAAGTCTACTGGGTCAAAAAAAGTCAGTGTCTGGTTTCCAGGCAGTGGCTGCAAGGGCGGCTGGCAGGGGGAGGGCGCTGCTGGGGCGGGGGAAGATAAGGCAGATTCAGGGAGAGAAGCCCCTACCTCCAGAAGCAGTTAGCAGAGGAGCAACGCCACCACTGTGGTGATGGGGACTGTTTGTGAAGAAAAGGATGAGCTGGGAGCAAAGCTAGAGCTGTCTGGGAGGGAGTCTCTCTGAAGAAATTGTAGGAAAGCTTTGTTTTGAGTGCCTTCACTTCTTTTTATTGGCTAGCTGGGGGAGATGAACAAGTCCCCAGGGATTTTTCCTTTGGGCACAAAAGCACCTTCCTCGAATAAGCAGCACTCGCTCCAGTGAAAGTGTCAGCAAAGAAACACATATTTATAAAAAAGAAAAAAAGGAAAAAGAAAAAGCCAGCTCAGGGAAAACAGACATCTCCTATCTCCAGAGGTGAAAAAGCAAAAATCTTGACTGACACCTCCCATGTTAAAGCCAGAATATGACTTTAAGAACTTTAGCCATGTAAAGGGAAATGGAAGTTGTGGACATGAGAGGCACTATGGGAAAGGTAGTTTTTAGTGGCACGCAAATATAGAGAAAGGCAGCTTGGGAAATGAAGTCTGAAACCTAGTGATGCTATAGAGAAAAGCATGCTGGGGAATACAGCATAGACAATACCTGCATGCCCAATTCCTCACTGGGCTTTTTTCTCCTATGATAATGCTAAGGATCTATGGAATGGTTGAATGAGAATGTTCCCCATAGACTCATAAGCTCTTTTTTGGGTCCCAGTCATAGAACTGCTTGGGAAGGATTAGGAGGAGTGGCCATGTTGGAGCTGGTGTCTCACTGGGGGTGGGTTTGGAGGTCTCCAAAGCCCATGTCTTTCTCAGTGATTCCCTCTCTGCCTGCTACTTGTGGTTGTGGGTGCACTCTTAGCTGATCCTCACCATGCCTTTGCTCTAACATCACAGACACTAATTGTGTAAAATGTGAAGCTGAATTAAACACACTCTTTTATAAGTTTTTTGCCTTGATCATGGTGTCTTTTTACAGCAAAAATAAGACACCTTAGTAGTTTTTGACTCAGTGGATCAAAGAGGCCAATATTTACTTATACAGAAGTCTAAGCCAGTATGATGTGTCAGAGGCCTTTGCGGGTGAGTATCTCAGATCATTTCAGGCTTTTAAGAAGGAGGTTGTTGAGGAAGAAGCCATAAATAGTCCTGCCCAGCTGGGATGCCTATGAACCACAACAATGACCAGCATGGCAAGATATCCAGTTTGTCAGAGAGCTCCAGAAACATAGCTCTTCTAAGCTGAGGCCAGTGTTGCGGCAGGCATGGGGTGGTGGGGTTCAAGCTGCCCTTGAGTCAATCTTCTTATAAGTGATCCTGCACCAATATCCCAGATGTAACTGTCTGTTAAATAAGAAACACAGAGCCAAATACAGAGTTAAAAGCCAAGAGGTCAGACCAATAGCTAAGAGCTGAGATTAAAAACCTTACCCTTCACTGCCGCTGCTGTCCTAACTCTCTGCAAGAGAACTACTTCCTGTGTGTTTGTGCTTTTTATTGACTTTCTGGTCTGCCTTCTCATTGGTTGTAAACTCAACCACATCACCTCCTCATCACTGCCTGTACAGACCTCCAGGTCTTCTATGGTTGGTATTGAGATTAAAGGCATGTGTCTCCATGCTGGTGGTGTCCTTGAACACACAGAGATCTGCCTGTCATGTGATTGGGATTAAGGGCGTGTGTTACCACTGCCAGACTTCTGTTATGGCTTGCCATTAACTCTGACCCCCAGGCAAATTTATGTATTAACATACAAATAAAATCACATTTCAGTACAAATAAAATATCACCATATTTCCCCTTTTCTATTTTAATAAAAAGAAAAAAGGAAAAAAGCTATAACTAATATAAGAAAAACGGTACACAAAAATACAATAACAATATACCACACATACAAGCAATAAATACCTAAAAAAAATGTCTAGTCCATTTGCCTTTGACAAATTCAGAGAAAATCATTCCATTTTCTATCCTATTTTGGCAAGTCCAAAATGTATCTAATTCACTATCCTAACAAGTCTTCAACTGTAACTAACTTATCTTCAACTATAACTAACTAATCATCAACTCCCTCAGAGACCCAAGAAAAAAATAATATTACCTAAAAAATAAAAACAGGAAGTGCATGCA